GGACGGAAAAAAACAATGCCGGGTCGCAACGAGAGTGGTGAGAAACGAAAAACCGGTGAGACAGGAAGGTGAGACATGATCTAAAGTGACAATGGCAGCAGTAGCTACTGCATTCAGGGCGCACTCAGAGTCCGCTCAGTAGTTCTTTTCCAAGCATCATCGTCATTAGGAGCCACAAGTACTCTTGTGGTGCATACTGCTTTCAAAACTATATCCAATACGATCGAGTTAGCGATGATCGCAGCTCGACAGCATTGATGCAGGCTAAAAACAAAAAAGGCAGCTTGGACAGGGACCAGGTTTATCATCGAAATGTTCAGCAGAGGTTCAGGATGGGCAACTTGTGTCAGCTGTGTTGAGGTCCTCTGTAGAGCGGGGTTGAACACCTGTGCTGTCGGGCTTATAACTGCACGCTTGAGCTTCCACACGGATGCGTAGACTGTTGAGGCAGCAGCAAGCCGTGCGGATAGCTCTGCAGTCTTGTTCGTGGATGACGCCTGCAAGGAGTTCTGTTTGCTGCAATGAGGCATAAGTTACTTCCAGTGTCTGCTGGGCATGTGACAATTTGCACACGTAGTCTTGTAGGAGAAGGAGATCTTGTGCATCATTGTGACTCCGGAGTTCCTGAAGCAAGCATGCTAATTCGCTCGGTCATTCGAGCAGAAGGCACATAGTTGGTTAGCAGGCTGAGCAAAACAGCAACGGGTGCCATGGCTTGATGTACTTTGACATCGTCCTATGCTACCAATTACTGCAAAAAAAATTAAAAACGGTTGCCCCGTTAAATTGTTACTAGGCTCCCCTCCCCTTTCCTCCGTGTTCATGTACAGTTTTGGCACATCTATGTCTAAGTAGACAGGCAAGCTGGCTAGGCTTTCATGTTTGCTTGAACGTCGTGGTCCTTAATTCATTTTTGTCGCATGTTTTTGAGGCTGATGCAGTGGTCAAGCCACTGTGTCCCTTGGCAAATCGATTTTGTGGGTGTTTTGTTTGGGCTCCGGCCCCTTTTCTTTTGTGTTTGGTTTGTTGTTGTTTGTTTTGCTGTTTCCTCTGGCGAAACGCAAGTCTGGCTGGGGGATTTGCGGGTCGTCGTGGTTTGGTGGTCTTGTGTGTTTTTTGTTTTTTTTGACTTCGATTTGCGTGCTCATATGGACCAACTGTGTCCTTGTACAAACGTCTTTTCGACAGCTTATGCTCATGTAAGGACCGAGCCTTAGCGCGACATCGGCCAAACTCGAGGAAAAACAAAAAAAAGGCTCCCCTCCCCTTTCCTCCCTCCCCCTACTTACTTTGGTAGGCTTCCTACTAAGTCAATTGCTTAGGGTAAAGGGGGTGGCCTGGGTAAGAGAAGCACTGGCCAACCATGGGGACCCCATGGTGGCAGCACTTGTATATATTGATGCTTGGAAAAGAACTACTGAGCGGAACGTAGCTACTGCTGTCCCTTCTCACAATAGATCATGTTTCACCTCCTGTTTCACCGTTTATTTGTTTTTCACCACTCTCGTTGCGACCCGGCGTTGTCGGTGTTTGCTTCGAAGTGCCAGGGTGTAATGTTATGCCTGAACGGCTGCTCTCTGTGATCTCGGGGATCCTGCCTGGGGGGATCCCTGGTTTCCGCTTTGAGCTGTGTTGCTTCTCACCCTCTTACCTGGCCTTTTTTGTGTTTCTGTGTTTTCTCTGTGTTGCTTCTCATCGGTGGCCATTATCCAATGACACACAAGATGTCATCATGCATGTCATTCCCATTGCTGGTTGCGATCCCACTCCTCTGTGTTCTGTTCGGTTTGTTTTGGTTGTGGTTGTGTGTTTTTTGTTTGTTTGTGTGCTTCTTTTTTGGTTTGGTTTGTTTTTGATGGGATTGCTAACTGGACTTTGTATTGGTCCATTACCAGCGCTTTTGAGGCTATCGACAAATTGACGGCCTTGCATGCTAATTTACAATTCATCTTTTTTGCTGCGGTTGAACGTGTGTAACGACCTGGCGAAAGCCATGAAGGCGTTGGACGGAAAAAATGGTGGCAGCACTTGTATTGCACAGTGGTAACGACGTAGCAGGTGGCAACCGTGGGTACCCCACGTTGACCATTTACGATTACTGGAACTGCACTGGCGCACCAGCGCTGTGGTGTTCATGGCTGCCAGAGCTACTGGCTGCGCTGTCGGAGGTGGGTCACTACTTCCGGCTGGCTTGATCATTTGCGCAATAAGTGGATGACTTTGTTTTTCGAGCAGAATCCTGGTCATTTCTTGAGTGAAGGCAGCAGGATCGTCTACTAATGCCTTAGCGTCCGCGAGTGGCCTGTCAAGGACAATGGCAAAAAACATTTCGCCGCCATCTTTTTGGATGAGGGCCGGTCGGCCGGCTTGCATTTGCTCAAGGATCGCAACTGCCTTGTTTTCACACAAGGTGCGCTCCCATTCTTTCTCTGAGCCGCTGGCGTCCCCAACGCGAGATGAAAGGACTGTCAGGGAGCGTGGAGGATGGCAGGTCTGCGATAGCAGCTACTGCACGGCGAATGTCACTCTCTTTTACTTCATAGGACGGGGATGATTTGCGCGCAATGGCCGGCTCGGAGTCAGCCCACAGTTGCCGCAGTGTGTATCCATGCTTCGGTTCCATATATTTCCTGTTCCACACTGCGTTATGAGACCATTGGGGTGCTTTGTGATTTATTTCTACTGAATCTCGAGGGCTGTTTGTGACGCATTACCCCATGAGCAAAGAAAATAGCGCAACGCGTGGGATGTTGAGTCTTGTGTGAATCTTTGTCTTCAGATCAGAGTGGAAATAAAGATCAGTTCCAACGCGTGCATTTCGATCAAATTTTTGCGTTGCGCCGAACAAACTGAACCCGTTGCGCGATTGAACAAATTTTACACAGATGCCGACGGATGTTTATTTGAAAAAACAAAGTGGTTGGTGCCGTTTGTAGCCATCAAATCTCATGTTTGTTCAAACGTTTTTTAATCTATGAACAGTGAATATGTGAAATGAGAAGGATTGAAATTGTGGCATTGTGAGGTTAGGGTAGTATGAGGTTGCGGTAGTGTGACGTTAGGGTAATGTGACGTTGAAACATGTGACGTTGAGGTAATGATGTTTGGTTGAGTGGCTGTGAATTTGGGAAAATGTGACTTTGAAATGATGTGAGGTTGACTGACTGAGGTTAAATAACTGAATGTGAGGTTGGGAAAGTGTGAAGTGTAACGAATGAATTTGAGAAAATGTCAGGCTGAATGACTGGGACAGTGATGTTGAACGGATGTGAGGTTGAGGGTGAGTGTGAATTTGAAAAATCAGTGAAATTTAGTGAGTGTGATGTCCAAAACAATTGGAATTAAAAAGATGTCAGGTTGGGCGTATGTGATATGATGTGAAATTGAGTGAATGCGAGTTTGAAAAAATATGAAGTTGGATCAGTGTGGTGGTGGGAAAATGTGAGGTTGAGAACTGTGAAATTCAATGAATATGATCGTTAGAGGCTGTGAAGTGGTGATGTTGTTCACTTCGGTGAGTCGGAATTTGTCTGCATTTTTTTTGATTTGTCTATATGTGAATCTAATTGTTTTTACTTTTGACCTGGGGACTAGAATATTTCAGATGCGGGTGGGAACTCCCGAGGCTGGCACTGTTATTGCGGGGAAAAACATATGCAATGCAGTGCAGTGCCCACAATTTTGTTGAATCACGACCAGCGCAGATTGTGGAACAATGTTGATGCTGTGGGGTCGCAAGCGGGAGTGAGGGAAACTTGGGAATGGATCAGCTAGTGAAAGTGGCCGTTGATCTTTTTGTGGCCCAAATATATTAATTTTGGGCCGGATGAACCAATTCTTTTTTGGGTTCCGTTGTTTGGACATGTCCAATTGGTTTGGGAATAGATTTTAGGATTCAACTCTTGAAATCACTGGGTTGCATCCGATCTTATGTCCATTGGATTCTGGACTCTTTACCGTAAATGCCAGTTTCATCAATTGTTGATGAAAACCTTTAAGAATTGAAGGTGTTATTTGCTAAAATTTTGATGATGCCTGATTTTGTTGTTCGAAATGCAGCATATTCCAGAAGTTATGTTGGGATCCTCGTAATTTTTTTTGAGACCTTTCCCTGGTGTCATTTCCATACATATCGTACACATCCATGGGTCCACTGTTCAGCCAAAAATTCCCTGGTGTTGTGGCTCAAGTGCCGCTTTTAAAGGCGGCCTTTGACCAATGTGACTCCAGTTCATTCCTGAGGAACTTCTCCGATACCGAAAGTGCCTCGATTCGGATAGTTGGGACGGTTCATCCCCAAATCCCAAAATTCCCAAACTCGAGGCCAAGGCTGGATGGGTCGCGAAAATTGACTTCCTTAATGTCATATGTCCCGAATGATTGACCCATATGAAATTTGGATGGATGGATCATTTTGATACATATGCAACAATTTGAACTAATTTGACAAAATCTGTGCTGTTTTTGATACCCATTTTGGAATATTTTGGAACCCCCCGGCCCAGGTAGTTTGATTTGATGTCGCAAACCCAGTGTGCATGGGCGAAGGGGTTCCGGGAACCGCCTTATTTCAGGGGTTCGAAATGTTGGATTCGTTTGACGGCAGAACTGGTAAGGGCCCATGGGAGTACAGAGCATTTTGTGGATTTTGTGGTTTGAATTGCGCATAAAAGGGGAGTCCTGTTGGACAGCGTCTCCATCATTTCACCTTCCATCTGATAACGGGTTGTTCATGTGTGCATGTGCGTTCAAAACGCACAACAGTTGGAAGGATTTTGTTGTTCACCTCGACCGGATCGGGGTATCTGACTGGCAACAACTGGGATTCCCTCTTGGAAGTGGTTTTCCTGACAAAAAAGGCAACCCAAAAAATTGAATGGTCATTTATTGCCGTTTCAGTCAGGTTTTATATTTTTTTTTTCTATTGCTTCCTTTTTTTTTCCCTCTCCACCATGCATGGTCCCCGGCTGCGCCGAGATTGAAGCAATGACCTTGTCCTCATGTCCCCTCGTGAGTTCGCCAAAGTCTCGACGCCTCACGTTGGTCGCGATGACCTTCGTTGGAAGGCCCAGGTGTTCGAACGGTGGATCACCTGGGGGACGTGTCAAACGGGATGGGACCAATATTTTAGCCAAACCTTGCGGTGCAAGGACCCATCATTGATGTTCCCAATTTTCTGGTGGATCTGGTGGCAGGTGCCTTCTAGGATTGGTTCAACTTTGTTCACCAGAACTGGATGGTGGAAGTTGTTCTCTCATTGCAGCGACTTGTGGGTCGGTACTGTACGTCCCGTTGTGATGGCCACTGATCTGCTGAGGCTTTGCTGATTGCCATCCTTTTGGTGCAGAGGGAAGGCACGCGGTCCGGAAGTACAGGAGGGACCAGGTTCCGTGCCATGGAACTTTCCAATAGAACAGAACCTGACCTTTTGATGCATCTGCAAGGCCTCAACACTCAGGGGTTCACTTCGATGTCACAACACTTCCAGCGTCCTTTTGGCTGTTTGTTGCTCCACTACAGGTCAGGTAGCCATGGATGAACTTCCCCAACTAAAATGTATATGTGTTCATTTTCACACAATCCCATTTATATAGTCTACTCATGTCTACTCAATCTATGCTATGGATGCTTGGGATCTAAAAAGAAGGGTACCGTGATCCAGAGTGATATGGGTACGTCCAAAAATGTGGACATCCCAATTCACGGCAAAAACTTCGCGGGGTAAATTTGAATTTAAACCATGGAATGGAACGGGGTTCTGAAAAAATGGGTCCAAATTACCAACTTTTCAAAAGGGTGAGCTGTCAAGGCTACTTCTGAAACCTGCCCCAGAGTCCCTCAAAAATCCCCAGCCGTTTGTGGGTCCAAAACGGAAACGTGTCGCGTGTCGCGTGAGGTTGTGAGGATTCAACAGACACTTCCACCTCCACAGCTCTTTGGAGGTGCTGATCTGCTTTGGGATGATTTAGGGTACCGAAACGTGGACCCATCAATACGAAAATGTCACCCCAAAGGGCGACTAAACCACATTTTCAGACATTGTTGATATTTCCATGAAACTAAGATAAGAACTCTCATAAGTCAGATGAGACTTCTTATGCTGTGTTTTCTGGCTGCTTTGATACTTATCACCAATTACTATCAATTACTAACGCTTCAATTTCCATCCCATGAATCCTTGAGATCCTGTCAGACTTGCCGGCACCGGAGCTCGCGTCCTCAGCAGAACTTGCTCGGTTGCTGGGGGGAGCTATGAAGCTAGAGATGGGTAAAGTATCAGGTAGAAGCATGGTTTTTATCTGCCTTGACCAAAGGTTGGAAGTCTTGATTTTTTTTGAAAATCTTGGTGCCCAACATTATACTGGCTGGTGGTTTGGAACATTTTTTGTATTTTTCCATATATTGGGAATGATCATCCCAACTGACGAAGTCCATCATTTTTCAGAGGGGTAGGTATACTACCAACCAGTGTAACATTGTAACTCATTGAATTCTCAGGTGATCATCACGCAGCCTGTTTTCTTCTGAGGCCCCTCGAGCCGAGTCTGTGAACATGGCAAGCCTCTTTGTGGCTGGTGTGACATGGCTGCCATGATGATCAATGCTGAATGGGAAATCCCCGAACTAAAATGGCGGTTTGTTAATGGACATCTAAATGGAGGATTGTCCAGCGATGTGACATTTTTTGCGGTCATGTCAGCTGGGGAGGTGGGAGATGGTGGGAGGTTTTGCCAGTTTTCAGAACTTGTGATGATAAGAGCCTTCAGTAGTGATTGAACTATCCCATCAAACATGAACATTTTTTGGTGCAAACTTGGAAATCCTCCATGTCACTGAAAAGTGACATCAATCAGCCATTTTGAAGAGCTTTTCAGGATCGCCCATGGCCACTGCTTTATTTTTTTGGGGATTCGGATTGGACTGGTGAGATTCAGGGGATGCTGGCGGCGTGGTTCGACCGATTGAGTCTTCAGAATTTTGTGGTTGGAAGTGGATGATTGCTTTGATTTCGCTTTGAACGTGGATGCTTTGATGTCCCCAAACCAAGCAGAACAACATCCTAATTCACGGCAATTGTGGGTTGTTGATTCACGGCATCAACAGGAGAGATGGATGGATGGATGGATGGATAGATGGACATTTGTAGAAACTGGCAGGGTTCCGCAAGTGCCTGTGTTTCATCCTCAGCTTTGTGGCTTACTCAGCCATTCATGGGGCACTGGTGGCATACCAGTGCAGGCCCCCGTCGTTGTCAGGGCTGGTAATCAGGGAGACGCAGGGAGATACGAGATTTTTTAAGTGACACCAGCTGGAAAAACGAAGATCCAGGTGGAGCTGGATAGCCAGCCTCAGAATTTGAGTCTCGTTGAGGTTTTGGAGGTTTAGAATGTCTCTAGCAAACCACGCGGCCATGCGGACGCCTTTGGGGGCCTGGATGAATCTCAGTTTCCAGCATTCAGAATACACCCAACTTTGAGTTGGGTCAGATAAAAATCACAGCAGAAGTTCTCTCCTCTTTTTAACATTAGATAGGCCCAAGCTCTATGTCTTTTCACGGCATTACGGCGACAGGGGCATGCTTGAGCCTGAGCGGGAGGTGCGGGAGAAATCTGTTCCCAGGTCAGCTTTGTAGGGAGATGAGTAGGTTGCAACATACTGCAGGCATGGATTCAAACGGAGCGAAATTTGAGTACAGTTAGCTAATTATTGTTCGGTATCTAATTTTGCCTACATGCTTCACTGGTGGTTTCCGTTTGCACTTTGAATCATCAACAGGGCTTTAGGAGTTTTTTTTTCGCTAGGGATTGGCTGAGGAATACAAAACACCAACCAAACCATCAACGATTGGTGGCTGATTTTGATGCGTACCCATTTGGGAATTGCTCACAATCGTCCAATGCCAAAATTGGTGTGGTATCAACCATATTATATATTATATATATATATTGGCCATGAAAAAGGGTGCCATTAGTATACACTATACCATTTTCATATCCCTATAGAGCCAAATCAATTACTAAACATCAGTACTTGACGACACTCAAAAGGAAGAACTTTTTGTGTCAATAGCACCTAATTTTTGGACCAGACCTTTGAGACAACACAGGAAACCTGGTTTCGGCTGGGAAACGAGCCCCGGCTCTACAGCTGGGCTTGGGACAGTTTTTACTGGCCACAAATTTTCAGTCAAACATGTGAGAAAACATCTGTTGGATATGATTGTAGAGTTTCTACCTTCCATTTTTTTGGAATCCATAGGTGGTCCCAGCCCCTCGCCAGTTTGATGAAGAGGCCAGAGTACCGGCTGAAAGCAGAACACCTGGCAAGAAACGCAAGGGCGAGGAAGATGAGGCTGCGTTGCACACACCGGGCTGATTAGTTGGCAAACTGGGTCAGTTCACCCATGGAATCCCCTGGTTAACCTGAAAATTACTTGGATTTATGGATGTTCAGTCTCCCTAAAATATGTTAGTAATAGGTTTGACCCGTCCCGAGTTCTCGAATCGGAATTCAACCATTAGATAAATGATGGTTGGTTGAATTATTTTTTTGGGTTGTACTACCCTTCATATATTGGAAAGTCCCTCTTAACCAACCACATTTTTATTTTGGATTTTATATCAGGGTGTTTTAACACTGCTCATATGGTAATTCTTCCAACTCAGTGTAGCTACCAGTCCAAGGAGAAGATTTAGGGTTGGAGTTTCCGCCACAAAATGACATGGAAGATGAGGGGGCTAATGGATTGAATCATGTTGAGGCTCTAGATTCAAGTTCAGCGAACTATTTTGGAGACCCCAGAAACTATAAGTCTGTCACTGAAGAAAATGGCTGCTGGTTTTTGCGGTCTCTTTCAAGTGGCCTATATTTCAGCTCCACTGTTTTTTTGGTCGTAAATTGGAGGGGATGATGATGCACTTTACGAACCGGTTCTCTTGGCAAGCATCCTGAGTTGTACCAAAAGTTGGAGAATATTCTACTTGTGCATTGTCCTCAAAGATCTTTGCTTCAGTGGCGCAAGAGACTCATTTAGTTCAAATGTTGAGTTATTTTTTTCCCTAACCTTTCCATTCTCTTCTTTTCGGAATGATGATTCAAGGTGACTATGAGTTTCAGTGCCCGAGGTGGCCCAACCTTAGCCGTGTTTTTGTTTCTTCATTGAGTCATTTTTGGTCGGCATTTTTTTTTGAACATTTTGACAGGTGTTTATTCAAGGTAATTGATTAGATCAACTACTGTAGATCAGTTGTATCTTCCCAGTTTTCCCGCTGACATTTCCACATTTGTTGTCAAACCTTAACCTGCTATATTTTGTTGACCGAACTACCCAAACTGGTGCTTTTACCCACTACAATGCCCTGACTTGGGCTAGTCCTTGTGGGAATATCATCAGTCCATTTTCATAGAGATTTATACACTTTTTTCAGGATTCACATGGAATGGGATAGATGGCCATACCCTATTGATTTTTTTCTGACCATGGCACATATCGTCGCATTTGGTTTAGATATCCTCATTTTATATACTGATAAAGATGGTTGACCATGACACATTTGCCAACGGCCAACGGTTTAAGGGAAATCTACAGGAACCCCCAACAAAATTGGTGGGTAAAAACCCATGGTTTCCTAAGATTTTGCCTTTCACCCATCCATTGAATTTCGCAAGAAAACTTTCCAACCTTTCTGGTGTTTTTGATGCCAGGAGGGCGATGGAGTGCTGCGCAGCCCTGAGCTGCGTAGCCCTGAGCTTCAACCTGGGTCGAAGAGATTTCAGGACAAGGTGCCGGAAAATTTGGGACATGGGGGAAGGTTGAGGAAAGTGCTGGAGATTGAGGGGAAAACTAGAAATGATCTTCCATATAGCCGGTGAACATCCATCACAATCAGCTATTCTGATCTGTTTTGATGCATAGCCCATAGCCATATTCATGCCTGAGGCATACCAGCAAAGGCGTTTGGCGGAGCATCTTGGCTTTGCACAAAAGCACTCGCACTGTTGCCACTGGGTTCGTGATGAAAAGCCCCCATGGGGGATGAAGATGAAGAAGGAGAAGGAAGAAGAAGAAAAAACGACAGAACGAAACATAAGCAGGAAGGAAAAGAAATGAAAAGAAGAAGGGAGGAAGACGAGGCTTTCTCCCCACACCACTAGAGTCACTAGAGGACTTTGTGTGGACTGAGGATCATTAAGTACCAGAACACCACTGAGACACTGATCCCAAAGGCCGGGTAGCTCCAGCCCAAACTGAGCCACAACTGTCGGGTTTGGTTTCTCCGAAAGCCCCCAACCCCCCTGGTGTGCACAGATTTTGGTGTTTTTGGTGGTTGATGGTTAAAAACCGGCTTGTGCTATATAAGTTATATAAGTGGTTGCATGTGGATGACGAATTCTGGTCAGGTGAACTCATCTGTTGCCATATGTGTTTGTTCAAAAATCCAAAATAGCCCAAGATCGCAATTTTGGAAAATGGATTTTTCCATCAATTTTGGGGAGGTTTCCCCTTGTTCCTTTTCAGACAAGCGCCATATTTTGCTGCCTCAACCATGTCCATGGCCACAGGCGTCCTTCCAACGTTTGGTGAAGGAAATCCTCACAGACTTGCAAGCGCAGATGCGTCAACCTGACCGAGATCTGCTTGAGATGGAGGAGAATGCTGCAGGGTTTTGGTGTAATTTGCCCGGAGTTCATGACGAAGAGTTTTAGCCTTGCAACATCTTCCCAGATGGCCAGATGATGAAGTGTCCCGTCAACGATGGCAGGTACCATCAGGTACCGGACTCACTTCTCCGAGAGTGGGCTTAGAGATTTCCCATTTTTGGGTTCAAAATCCAAGAGGTTGAAACTGCCTCCACCAGGACCATCCTTTTCTGCGAATGGAGATTCAAGCGCTGTACGCTCTACAGGAGGCTGCGGACCCTTGCTGGTCGATGACCTAAAATGTTGTGAACGGAGCTTGGGAGTTCTTATGATGGTTCTGAACTGATTCTTCTCAAAAACAAATAGATGCCAATACAATATGTATATAATATATATATACATTATACTTATAGTATACATATTGTTGGTTGATAAGCTCATTAAGAATAGATGAGTCATAACTTTTGTAAACTATTCGCGTGAGTGACACCTGCTTGCCAGTCTCAACAGGTGAGTCGGCAACTCTTAGTTAGATCAGGACCCAAATACTTTTCCACACCATGTATATAGATGAATAATGAAGCCAAGGAAGCCTGAAATGCAATCAACTTTTTGTTGGACCGTTTTTCAACTTGCTGGGACGGCTCAAGTTGTGGTTCACAATTCCCAATTCTGATGGATATGTTCGATGCTTTTTTGGAACAAACTGAGAAACAACAAATTCTGAAGGGATATTTTGAAAGTCCCATAGCAGCTAGGGGCCTTACCTTGTGATCCTTGTGATGCTTGTGGCACCAAGGAACAATATCTGGTGGGTTTGATGGAAGATGGCTACCTTTGCTCGGTGCATGGCAAGAGAGTCACCTTAATGGAGAAGGATCTGCATCTGGTGAACAAGCTGCGCGTGGCTTGGTGACCGGATGTTACTGCGATGGCTTTTGGGGATGGTTTTTAGGATGTTTTTCTTACTATTATGGCGTATCTTTATCGTTGTGTTGTTCCTATCATTATATATTACTGTGATATATTGCTTCTTATTCTCACTAACCCAGCAGGACCGATGAACATATGGGTTTGTCTGAAACTAGGGAACCCCCAAATCTGATGGTTAATCATCACATTCTCTATAAACAACTACCATTTATTGCGGGTTCCCCTCATTTTCAGACGAAGCCATATATCTAAAATCTCTGACGCAGATGTGTTTACTTCCGATGGATGGGAGGTTAACATAGGTTAATTAGCCGCCAGCTTGCGGCGTTTGCGGCTGTTGAGCTGCAGATGTCATGGAAGGAAAAAAAACCATGGTGCCATGGTGCCACACTCTGAAAAACTTCGCTCCCAACCATGGCACATTCTTGAGTTGCTTCACCTATGTTCTATTTTTGGTAGGCCCCCCATCATTGAAATCTTTTCCGACTTGTCGCGATGAGAAAATCCTCAGCTTGATCGACCACTGGGATAAGGCGCAAAGGGGTCAAGTCAGACGTGCCCATCATTGTTGGTAGCGCTTGTGGCACAGTTACCCTCTGGTAAACGTTTACATAACTATGGAAAATCACCATTTTTAATGGGAAAATCCACTATAAATCGTCATTTTCAATAGCTACGTTAAATTACCAGAGGGTACCAACTTATTTCCCCATCTCCAGTCATTTTCATCGAATTTTTTTCCAAGACTTGCTGAACTCCAAAACTTTCCGTTCATTTTTTTTTCAAGAAAACCAAGGCATTAACCATCCCGTCCCCTAGTGAAGAATCTCCCCATCTTTTTTTGCGCAAGGACACTGGTGTATTATCCCCCTGAAAATCTTCTCACTTGTTTCCCACGTGCTTCTAGAAATTGGAACCCTTGACACAGTCAACATGAAGCTGGGTTTTCATCTCCCCATGAAATCCCACCATCTCAGACTCAGACCATCTCAGACTATCTCCATCCATTTTTCACACTTTGAGGTGCGGAAGTTGACCAAAGTCGTGAAAACTGCCGCCAAACCCGACGGTGCAGAGGAGCGGCGGGCTGCGCAGAGAGCCCAGCGGGCTGACCGCGCGGCCGGCGCGGAGGAAGCGGACATTTCGTGACCTTGTTAGAACTTTTGGGAGCCCAAAAGATGGAAATCTTGAAAGTTATTATAACTACTATATACTATTAAACACAATATTATTGGTCTTAATATTGTTATTATTGCTACTATGATTATTAGTACTATTAGTACTATTACTATGTTCTTCTTCTTCTTGTTCTTCTTCTTGTTGTCGTCATTATTCTTTCCAAACTGTCTTTTTCATGATTTTTTGTTGGGGAGATTTAAATTTATCCAACGATTCAACAATACTGTAGTTGACAAGCATGGGGATGTAGAAATGGATCTTGGGATTCAACATAGTGGAATCTTTATAGTAAGACTATAGTGGATCAGAGTGGGAAGATTAGAATCGTGTGCAAAGAAAGTACATTTCTTGGGGATGTCAAGAGGTATGAACAGATAGAAAAGAAGATAACATTGCAGAAATTATACTGGTTGGTGGTTTGGAACATTTGTTTTCCATATATTGGGAATAATCATCCCAACTGACTAATATTTTTCAGAGGGGTTGAAACCACCAACCAGTGTAGTAAGTGATAAGGGTTCCTGCCAGATTTACAACAGCTGCGTCATGAGCGTCATGATTTTGGGCTTCCATTTGCTGAAAAAAAAAGGCCATCGATGGTCATACCATGGTGGCCTTTGGGCGTGGAAAAACACAGGCCCTGAAACTTGGGACCTGGCGATAGGTACCCGTTGTAAATATTAATGCACCTTTGGGAAACGGTACCCATTGTATATACGTACCAAGAAATGGCACGGCAGAAAGTGGCGACACAAAAATGTTGATGCTTGACATTTCAGATTGAGAGTAAGATTTCGGTGAACATTTCAGATTGACATCTTTCGAATGTAGGACTTAGGAGGACCTGCTTTCACTTTCTGCTGTGATGTTTTGGTGCTCTTACCTTGAAAGCGCGCGTTTCTCAGCGCGTGTCTCAAGGCTTGACGCGAAATGTTCATCTGGTTAAAAAGGTTCGCAGCTTGATCAGGTGGGAGCTACGTTCCATATTCCGCCAAAAATATCCAAAAATTACTAGTGGATGTTCATCCCAACACTGTTCGGCCATCAATGAATCATGTGTATTCAATATCCCATATCCCCAATATTTGGTCCTGTCCCAAGGTGTTGACCAAAGGCGTGTCGCGTTTGGTGGCTTCTGAGCAGCTGCTCTGGGTTTCCGCGCTCTGAGAATCAGTTCTGCGAAAACCGCTGGGTTACTGCTGGAGTGTTGAGACAACACGACCAGCTGCACTGCGCGGCCTTTTGCGGCGACCTTACAGCGCGAGCTGTGCCATTTTGAGAGTGGCAATACTGTTCCAATCTTGTTTTAAGAACTTATCAAAGATATGTGTAATGAAAGGCTTGATCATTGCGTGATGCTTTGTCCCTTCAAGATGCGAAAGCGAGATAGTCATCATATTCAATTTGATAGTGAAAACCCTACGGAAGCCCTTGCAGTGTCGAAGGCAGTGAGAACCCCTTGTTTCGAGCTTTTGAGCTCCAAACTTCCTGTGCAGAGCAGACTTGAACCGGGTGAAGTTGCACACCAGATCGGATAGGGCGCTTACATGCGCCCTTCGACCACGAACTTCTTTGCCACTCTCCTGCGGCTTCCCTCAAGGGGCAGCCGGGCAACGTCTGGCACGGACAGCGTGGGACGCGATGGCGACGCCCTGAAGAGGGCATCTGTCCTGTGCGCGTTTGAAACGGCAAGGAGCAATTCCCAGAACTGAAGGATGTTGAAGGGAGAATCTGCAAGATCCCTACTATGTTTGATGGGAGAAACTGTGGTTTCTTCTGAGGTTCCCTTAAATCTGTTGAGAAATATGATGCTGGCTGGGGAAATCGACTGCAGACTTGTCGGGCGCAGGATGGAGGTAGCAGGGTCCATCGAAGTGAGAACTAAGGATGAACAAAAGCATCTGAAGCCAACCTATGGATCCGGATCAGGGTCCGACATAGCCTCGGGTGTGTGTAGCATGACCCAGGGTGCCGTTGATTGACACATCTCCAGTGGATTACTCAGCAGCTTCAAGATCAAAGATCAAGCACAAGATGAAGATGAATCGTCCAAATCAAATCATTCTAAAAAGGCGCTTGCTAAGACAGGTTGGAATGATTTGTGCTTCCTGGGTCAGCTGCAAATGTCTACATTTTCAGTCTGAGCAACGAATGCGCAGACCTCCCTGAGCCCGGTCATGCGCCGCTCTGGGCCCTGTGGCATTTCCCCATCTACCTGCAGATGTTCCCCCGTTTTTTCCATGTTAGGGTCCCTGCAGCTACTCTGATGGACGTATCCTTCATCCAACCTGGCAAAGGAACCTTTTTCCATTGATCTCCAGTGATTCATGATAATGAGAATTTAGGATGATTCATGGATGCTTTTCACATTAAATGGTGGTGAATTCCCATTGCCCTGTTCGATTTTCTAATTCGCGGGGGGTGAGTAGCCGTGCTATACCTCCCTAGCAAGTCCCCATATGGGAGTGATCAAGAAGTGCCATAGGGCCAGGACACAAGCTGACCACCAGCTTGACAGCGGGACATTGGGCCAAAACGCATCTGGGTGATGATTCGCCAATGCGGCTCCAAGAAAAAAATATCCAGTGTGGAGGGTATCCAGTGTCTGTCTTCCAGTGAGTAACTTTGTTTCTTTTTTCCCTCCCTCTTCAGTCTTCTGTTGTCCATCGCGAGCGCTCTTGAAAAAAAGCTGGCGCTTGATTTACATGCCGCTGCAATAGGCGTATCAGCTTCACAACATGCAAGAGGGCAGTGTGTTAAACACCAATGGACAACACTTACGTATTACTCGCCCCTTGACGCTAGAGATACCTTTTTCAGTAGCATGGGAGCCATGGGAGCCATGGACATGGGCCATTGATGCCACTACAGCCACTACCAAAGCCAGATCTGAAATCCATCCCCTTGCCGTCCCGTATCGTCCCGTTGCACCTTTTTTCGCCTGCCCTGATGGTTGGGGCCTCATCTCTGGGGTCGTGACTGCCTGGAATGGGTTGGTGGCAAGTGTCACAGGATTGCTAGGAATTTCGGAAAGACTTGCTGATTTTTCAGCCTTGAAAACACCATGGGCGAGAAGTTGATGGGCAATGCCTGAATTAGCAGCTGATGGTCAATATGGAGTTCTACAAACTATTGGAATGTGGAATGTGAACCGAATGGATATGATTGAATATGGAAACTCCTCTCAACCAGGCAGTAGCTTAACTGGTGGCTTGGGGGAATGACAGAGGGTTTTTGGCGCAGCTCGAATGTTCTATGCAGCCAAAAGATGGATGAGTGGCTCAACCACCCATCAGTTGTGTTTTTGGTGGTTCGTTTCCATTTTTGCTTGTTTCATGTTAGTTATAACCACCTATTAATATATAATCCTATATATATACACACACGATATCCTACTATATTCCACTATATACAATATGTATATAAATATACATTTTATACGATATGTATGTATGTATGTAATGTAAATGTAAATGTAAATGTAAATGTAAATGTAAATGTAAAGTAAAGTAAAGTAATGTAATGTAATGTATATGTATGGTATGGTATGGTATGGAATGTAATGTAATGTAATGTAATGTAATGTAATGTATGCATGTATATATATATATTCATACATTATATAGATAGATAGATATATTATAACACCGTTTTGGGTTGTTCCCAGTATTCTGTTCTAACTTCCCCCAAACAAGAAACAACTGCTTCCACACGACCAAGGCAGCACGAAGTCATACACCTCCAGTTGGGCACCTGGCAGGGGTATAATATGTGGCAGATCTGGGTATATACAAGATATACAGACACATACAGTATACTTAATCTATGTGTGTATATACTATGTACACTGTATATGTGGGATAGCTCATGGGATACTTGATGGGTGAATGGTGGCTAATAGTGGTGAACAGTGGCTAGTAAATCCCCATACCAATGGAGGTTTTTGTCGAGCCAGCCATGTTTGATGACACCGGAGGCTATACATAAATATCTATGTGTATGCATATAATATCTAGACATTATACAAGATAGACATAGATACCATATACATAATCCATACATAGATATTATGTATCTATACCATAGATTTCCATATATATATATGGATGTGTATAATCTATAATCCATACATCTATTATCTATCTATGAATATGTAGTCTCTTATACACACCATCCATTTCGTTTGGAGAAACATGAACTCAGCAGCCATCAACTCGAGGGTTTTTGGGACTTGGGCCAAACTTGATGGAAACAGGTTTCCTCAAACACCATACATCTGCATGTTTATATTGATATATTGATTTACTGATAGATTGATAGATAAGATAAGATAAGATAAGATAGATAGATAGATAGATAGATAGATAGATAGATAGATAGACACTACTCAGTGCCTTTTCCCGGCATGGGCAACATGCTATTTCAATTGCTGGAGTATCTTAGGGTTGAGTTTATGGATATTTCTCGTTCCCAAAACCCAGGTTCAGCACTGGGGGAACCTCAACGGGCGACCCTGTGGAGCCTCACAGACTGGACCCTGTCTGCAGGTTGGGACCTCCAAGACACTCACCTCGGGAGTTGACTCTCTAAGATTCAAGCCACAAAGAGGGAGATTTGAAAGATATGCACATGGGTAAACAAAAACTACAATTTTCCATGTGAATAGGGGTCTTTGATCAGTAGATGACTGATTGGTGTCTTCACAAATTTGTGTTTATTTCCAACAATATGATGATGAGCCCCTATGACGAGCATATCTTTCAGGGGTCGGCATGTTGATGCCTTGCAGATGTGCAAAAAATGCAGAAAAATCGATGGTAGAACGGGTAGAACCCTTTTACATCCCAGGGGTCACATCAATTTCGCCAAACGAAAGGTGGAACATCTGTATATAAGTCATATATCCCCATCATATTGCCATCATATCCCCATGGTTTGTTTTGTTACCAGGCTGCGCCTAGCTTTCGTCCTGTTGGGAGCTCGAAGGGTTCGGTCGAATTTCAGTGGCATGTTGCCATATTTCATCGTAAAAAACCCATGGTTTGCTGGAGATGTTTTCATTTACTGGGAAATTAATGGGATTTAATGGGATATTAATGGGATTTTATAGTGATTCAATGGGATATTAATGGGATATACCCTCTGGTTATGACTAACATAGCCATGGTTTTTCGATGGCCCATAGAAATAGATGGTTTACCGAACTTAAACATGGGTGGATCTTTCCATGGCAAACTGTTAGTCATAACCAGAGGGTAAATCTACCCATTGAAGAGATCTTTTTGGTAGATCCAGACTTGGGATCAGGTGCTGGCAATTTGCGGTGGCACCACCAATGCTCCTGTTGTCTCAAGCGATCGCAATAGCATCAAGCAAGGTCTCCGCAACAGCTGCAGCAATGAATCTTGCCTTGGATGATTGGTAGTGGTTTCCTTTACCAAATGTCTTGGTTTGTCTTGATGGGACATGACAGCAGGGTAGCAAGCTCCAGCCACTCCAGAAAGGGTGTGTCCATGTAATCAGATGATTGGAACTTGCGATTGCAAAGATTGTCACTGTGTATTCAGGTACAAGTCTGACTAGAATGATGTATAAAAATAGGATGATTCAAGACTGAAGATCCAACATTTTCATGGATTCAACCCCAAACACACGGAAGGAAGGCATCTTAGAAAACTTTGCTGGCCTATTTGGGCGCTATGGCTGCCTCCAGAGGCAAGAATGATGGCTGGAATTCCTCAATTCCTCAACTGGGAAGGGGGCACTGTATGGCTAGAAAATTCATGGCATTTCACCTGTCTGCAGTTTCTGGTCGCTTGGTAAAGCTTGGTCAAGTGACCAGACACCCTGGAGAGGTGCTGCCATGCTGGGCATATGCCTGGCCGTCTGGGTGGCAGGAGCGGGTTTCGGCTGGGGATGTGCCACAAATTTTAAGGGTACCACCAGAAGCAACCAAATATTTTCCAAAATGGTTTGTTCATGTTTGTTTCATAGTGACATAGTGGAAACACCTGTCCTATATCGTCCTTCAAATTTCCTAGATGAATTCTTGTTGCACCACCATGTTTGATCATTTAGGATCATTTAGGCCGTTCTTGTGTCGTGGTTTTGCCAAACATTAATTCCTCAGACCACTTGAGCGTGCCAGGCGAGGCTTGGATGATGAGGCGTGGCGTTGGAAATCATTTGCAACTTGGGTGTTGATTGGATTAAAAGCTCATTCTTGGACAAGGGTCCTTACACTTCCCGATTTGCATGGTAAAACATCAACTAAGCTCATGGTCAAACGTTATTAGCCCGCGACAGAAAATGGTGTGAAACAGCTCAAAGACAAGGACGCTGAGATGCTCAACAAGGTCTTGGATGATGGAATGTCAACCCACACACAGCGGACATTTCAATGGGGATTTATGAAGTCACAGGCCCTTACCTGGACGGTCACAGCGGCTGGCCCGACGGGCGGAGGCAGGGGGTGGCCTTGACTTTTTTTGGTGGCAGAAAGAGTTGGGGATTTCAGAGTACCTCGAGTTTTCCATCATGTTTTATTGATTCTTGGTTTCAAACAATTCCACCCTAACCATAAGCCTTTTCAACTTTTCAAGGAAAGTTGCTTGTTCTTTTTTTTTTAGAGTGATTGTCACACAATGTGGGTGCAAAAAGAACTAGGGCTGATCCCTGGCAGGAGAGCAACGGGCCTCGGATGTACTACCAGGCGCCGGGTGCACATTGGATGAACATCTCCCAATCCAAGTCGTGGTTTTCTTGTGGATCCATTCAATTTTGGGGTCCCCAAATAAACATTTGTGTGTATTTCGTGGTATTTTAAAATATTTCACACACATGTAACATATATATATATAAATGTACACATATGTTACGTATAGTATATATATATATATATGTATATATATATATATGTATATATATATATGTATATATATATATATAATTATGTGTGTATATATATATATATATATATATGATCCTGAGGATCGTGCCCATCCACCGCAGGAAGATCGGGGCACCCCCAAGGGCGGCGCCTTTTGGGGTCGTTCCACCGAAGAGAAGCGCCTCGGCCTGGGTGTGGCAGTCTGAGTCGATCCACTTGGAGTTCACCACCAATTTTTTTTATCATTGGAAGATCAACAACCAGGGTAAAGTGACCCATGATCCAAAGCCACAGGCGATATGTTGACCCCTCTCAAGAGCCGTTGTCCCATGAAAACCAAAAAGTATCACATCTTCCAAGAGATCACTTATTTGATCAAAACCTATCATCATCTGTCCCATATATCACCTATGATTCCATATTATCCCACATTTTGCCAGTTAGACCCCATTGACCAATTTGAACCCCCCAGAAGTCCCAGCTGTTTTGCGAGGTGGGGGGAGTTCGCCAGTGGCGAAGCAGGAAGATTCGACAAGGACGACCTGGTGCAAGCGGTGTATCCGGGCAGCCAGGAGGTCTACTGCGCACAGGTGGTTTGGGGTGGCCCGGTTGGAGTTTTTTTTTTGGGGAACAAATGCTACCCAAAAAAAAGAGGTTGGGGATTGTTGGGGATTATGATGCAACTGGGAAATGCTATTTTTGGTTATGATATAGTTATCATTGTCATCTCTGTGTCATGATTTCGAGTAACTGGGTAACTATAGTAGTTGTAAATTCTGGATGAAATCCTACAAGGATGAAGGATTTCAGCTCTACTGGGAGAATTTTCATGAGCAAGTGGAGTTGAAGTAGCAAAGATGGACATGAAAGTGTAACAGGACTCCATGCACACACACACACACCAGCTGCAATGGAATACACCTCACTCAGTTACCATATTTTTCGGGGTCGGTGTCCCCCATCTGCCGCTTCTGAGAGGTGATGAAATACATTGGTTCTGGAGATTGGATCCTAGGCACTTCAAAGGTTGGAGAGGAGCTGATGGAAGTGGCGGGCAAATTGGGGCTTTAAAAAAATCCAATTTCCAATTGCCATCATTTCTCCTCTTGAACTTTCCACTTAGCAGAACTTTCGATTTTCCACTTTCCATCCATATCTCCAAATGGAACTTTTGTCTTTTGGGTAAAAAGACTCATAGCGGACTTCTGGTTGTGACCTTCAGATTATGGGGTGTGCCTGAGGCTTGGCTCGAGATCCGCTGAATGCACCCCAGAATGAAAAAATTGGGCACGAAGATACATCGATTCACTATTGGACTAGGGTTTCTTGGGTGTTTCTTCTTTTTGAGGTAAATGGATTGATCATACCGTGATTATCCAAATCAGTTCGAAACTTCTTGTCGTATGATAGAAACTGGTGTGACAGACGATAGTTTCCGGTTTCACATAGCACACCAGGGTTTACAGACTGTGATTTAGAAACTTGCAATTTAGAAACTTGCAATGTGAAACTCACTGCCTTTGCGGCCAGATCATGTGCACGGCCAGCAAGGATTGTCATGTGGGTGGATGACATGCCAGAAGACTTCGCCAAAGCATCTGTCCTGAAGACGTAGCTTGGCCGGTGTGGGAAACTTGAAGAAGTATGGACTCAAGAGAGGCATCATGGGGTGTAATGGGGATATCAACCAGCAACAGGGGATAACAATCTTCTTCGGTTACCTGATGATCTTGGGATCAAAATTTCAAAGAGGATTTGTCATCATCCCTTGCTCCTTGGTTCCCCTAACATCAATGGTCACCAATGGCCAGGACAGGGTACGAGCGTTTTTTGGAGGTGGTGATTTGATGGTCACCATGGGTTTTGAACAGCTCTTTTTTCAGGCGAACAGCTCGACTTCACCAAAGTTGTCAAAAAGAGTTGGGCGTACATTAGAAAGCTGCAAGCGAAAGCCAAGCAAGTTGAAACTTGGATGATTTCCACATGCTTCTAGATGTTATTTCTCCAGGTTTTCAGAAAATTGACATGGCTCAATGGCTCCCGCACATCCCAGGGACGAAATGGAACATGTGAGGATCTCCCCCGTGACGTGAGGACAGGGGGGATGGCCTGTGCGACCCATGGCTTTCCCCATGGGCTTTGTTCATCCATGGTTCATATCATGGCTTTGGGAACCAATGGAACCACTAAAAATTGCTCCATATCATGGGTAAAAATATCATGGTTCAACCATTTTATTTGAGAAGTTTAAAACCAGGTTTTTTCCGCTGGGATGGATTTTTGGGGGAATCGCTGTAGAATGTCTGGGATGATCAGGAAAATCGAGCTTTGAAAGATATGGACGCGAATGATGCTTGTGTATCTGTAGCATGAGGAACAAACCAAACTGGATGCCCTTGGGTTTGGTCGTGATCTTTGTTGATCTTTGTTGTTCCAGCAACATATTTTGGTCAATGGTGCTCATTGTACCATTTCGGTTTGTTCGAGAGGGTCCGATGCCTTCTAATCTCATTGGTTTCTTCTACAAAGATAGATGATGAGATGGTTTTTGGTGGTGCAGCGATTTGGAACATACCTACCATTGGATTGTCCATTTATCCTTCACAGTAACCACCATGTGTTTTAACAACCCACTTCGATTTTTCGAACGGCGAGGAGGGCGAAACGTGTGCGGCAAATGTCTCCAGCCTTCGAACAAAAAATCACGAGATTTCTGCGATCTGACGAGTGAAGTTGCAAAAAGTGATGATCCAACTGTGCTTGTAAAGATGTATGCGAAACTAAGTCTGCTGCAGAAGTAGTTCCAAGCATTTTTGGCTTGGGAACAAGCACAGATAGTTGTTGACCCACACTTGATTGTTGAATTTTTGCAACTCACATTTTCGATGGCTTCGCCAATTTTCCCAACTTTCGCTGCAATCGGCGACCCTCGGACCCTTGTACAGCCACTGGTGCAGCTGGGGCAAGCGATGATGAAGGGTGGTCAGCTGAAATGTGATAGACCCACAGCTACAGACCATAAGGAGTTAAAATACGAAACGAATTTAAACGATACACAATTTGGAGGTACTGTTGGGTTGTTATCATGGCCATCATGATTTTTTTGCTTATTTTCATTGGTATGGGAAGTGTTTCCATTAACTTTCCCACATCAACTACCAACAAGCTGCTCCAACAAGCTGCTGCTGCCTCGGTCGACTGGGCATGGAGGGTTCAGTCTGCTATAATTTTCATCAACCAAATGGTTGAAAAAGTCTATCATAAACATTATATATTACATATATATATATATTACATATATATATATGGAGTTCCAGTGAATCACGCCAGATGATTTGTGGATGTTGGAATCCCCAGAGCTCAAAGACCCGCCAGAAGCCGCAGTGAAAGACTCAAAGACCCGTTGAACGTGGTGAAAAAAACACGTGGCAGCTCTTAGGCACTCTGATAAAGTTTCTTTTGGAACATTGGACTGGGGTGCTTCAGCCCATGTGTTGGTGAATGATGGCGGTGACCAATACATGTACCCAGATTCGCCCCCTGGCATCTGGGGTGTTTGGAGCAAGCCTGTTATGAAAGGAAATAGGTAGATGAAGGCACATTCTTTAACAAACTTTTGGCACCTCTAACTTGAGTATGTCAATCTCCCGGACCTATGTTTGTACATTCAGGGACTAAATGGAAAAATGAGGATCTGCCGTGAATTTTCGGGAGACCCAGCAAAAGCGGAGGTATCATCCACCAAAGCAGTGTGGTTTGGAGCAGGCAAAACCGAAGAACCTCTTGTTATGGTATCCACTGTTGACATCTCCTCAAACAATTTCACCTGGCAACGATAAAAAATCAGGTAAATCAATGTAAATCAGGCAGATCATCTATTTTTCAACTGATAGATATAAGATATATAAATCGTACGTAGCCTGCCAAAATGAAGAAACACCATACACCCAATCGGTCAGCCGCGATGCGTGTTTTAGGTTTCTAAAAACCGTTTTGGGTCGGTGAATCCAACCGATTCCCTTTGGTCTTTTGATCCTGAGTAAAAACTAAGCCGTGCTTCAAAAAGATGTATGAGCATGTTTGAGCCATAAATTGATCCCTCAATTGGAAAAAAAAGGGAAAATCACCCTAGGAATTGGAACACACACACACACATATATATATATATTATAATATATATATATATATATTATATTATATATATTATATATATATAATATATATATATATATGTATAAAAGTATATACATGTATACATCAATGGATTGTTGTAAGGAACCCCCCCACATTTTATGGGAAGTTGTCGAGGTCCCATTGGCGCGATCCCCTTCGCCAGTGCCGTTGCGGCGAGAGGAGAAAGGGCATCTCCATGGGGGTGATAGCCTCTGGTAAACTAACTATCTTTAAACTGTGGATTTTCCCATTAAAAATGGGGATTTCCCCTAGTTATGTTAGTAAAATCACTATCTTTAATAGGGAAATCAACTATTTCGACTGGGCCATTTTCAATAGCTATGATAGCTATGTCAGTTTACCGGAGGGAAAAGGTCTGGAACGAAATCGGTTGGCAGTCTGCAAAACTTTGTTTTGGAGCAATCATAAATCATCAACTAAGTAACTAAGTAGTTTTTGAATGACTTTCTGGTTGGTGGTGGATTTATATAATTGTTCCTTAGTTTCCATCTGACCAAATTCGGATCCCAAAATTGACGTGCTAATATCTTTCAGGGGCTCACCCGCCCAGGTAAAAAGTGGGGTTACACCTCCAAAATCGATTATGGAACCCAAAAGTTGTTCCAAATAGTGAAAACAATCTTTGGAATAGCATGTCCAAAGTTCCATGTTGAATTTTGGGGGAATATAGCCAACAAGTCTCACCATATATCTAATATCTATATCATCACCAGCAACCCCTGGCCTAGAGCCAACAAAGCCAGAAGAATGGAACTACTCAAAGTGGGCTCAGCCAGGAGACCTCTCCGGTGCGGCCAGGGAACCCAGACCGAGATTGGGACGTTTTTTTTTTGGTTCCCAGTTTCCCTGTTACATGGACTGGTTATGATGGTTTCATATTCTTCAAAAAATCAAGATGTTTTCAGTTTAGTTTTGAGATGACTTGCGAAGCAAGTCATCGAGTGGTTTACCATCCAGGAAACAAACTAATAATTCGCTACAGAAAATCCACCATTTGTAGATCAGTTCGTATGGTAAACCATGGATTTTCCATATCTATGCTATTTCACTGGCGTACAACCAAACATCAGCAATTTTTTTGGGCCCCAACGGAACAGCTAAGGTTCGGCACGCCCAAGGCATGTGAGGGACTCCGTTTCGAGAAATGTTCGCAAGCGGTGTTGTTTTGTTGCAAAATATGCTATCACTATACAGTGGCTTAGGTTGGATAGCTTGACTAAACGTCAATAGAATGTTGAAGTTCCCCGTTCTGCTTATGAAATCGGTTCACGTCCAACGTTCAACGCAGAGAATTACTACTTCTCTAGATTCAAATCAACCAAATCAATCAAATCAACAAGCTCAGCTGTTTCTCGAAATTTCTCCAAGTTACTAATGGATTTTGTCGCCATTTTTCCCGTTGAACGGGAACCTTCAAGAACGGCCCTGTCGGTCGGTGGAGTTCACTTCTAATCACCATTTTTTTACCTTCCAAGTTGGCTTCAAAATCTGGAAAACATATATATATATATGTATTAATATATATATATAATATGTATGTATATATATATATAAGATATTCCAAAGAATTTTGCCAACTTACAAACTGGTTAAACCAGAAACATGATGGTAAACTACTGGAAAAGTCATCCAATGGGTGTTTCCCGATGATTTTCAGAGCCGGTTTTCATGGAGGCCGTCTGCGGTCAGCGCACAGCACTCACTCCACCCCCAGGTCTGGGGTGAATTTTTGATGCTTGGGGTCTAGTTCTGATAGTCTCAAGCATCAACAGTTGATGATGCAACAAAAAGGTTCTGGTTGATTTCTGTTTCAAGTATGTGTTTATGCTTTTCTTCATCCTGTTTGGGTGAATGATCTGATATTCAACTATGCTATTCTTGGGATAGATTGAACCTATTGACCTACCAAACAGACTTGTTAGTTAGTGGTAAGGTACTGCCCGAGTGCCAAAGAGTGCTTGGGATCTTGAGAATGGACCAGGCAATCCAAATACACACGCTCTTAGCATCAATCACCAACACCTCGATGCACATGATTTCACACTAATTTCTAATGACAACAATTAAGCCTCTCAATGAATAAAACAGAGCAGTGAGTGCTAGCAAATAATATAACACCAGAACCTCCACGGGAACAAAACACATGTCACGGGTGAAAAAAAACATCAAGATAAAACACACAAAACACATATCAGTGCAAACATGTACTGCCTCGAATTCATATCATAGAATGAAACCATCACCCGCTGCTCAAGAACGAGGTAGAATTTGGCACCACAAATTCTTGGTAATCTCCAGGAAAAAAAACCATCCATTAGTGCATGGTAGATCATGACCAGTAGTGACAAGTCTCAGAGCTAAGGGTCCCATAGATTCGGGACGTTCATTACAGGGAATCCAAATATCATCCAGCAATCTGCTGTGTCAAGCCCCCCCAAATTTGGGATTGACATTTTAGATGGTTTCAAGATCCTCAAATTCAGCAGCCCCATGACGAAAATTAGTGGCCGCGAGCTTCATAGCCAGGTTTCGGACATGTGCGAGGCTGGCCCAAGGGTGGAAAAAGGTCAACATAACAGACTGTCCTTTCTGATCTTTCTGGCAGCGGGATGAGCCTGGCAATGTGGTAAACCCAAACCCAATAAATCAACAATCAGCAGGTTAAGCGGAAATGGGTGGTATAAGCCCCCAAAATGCGAGCTTGATTCATGGGCCATGGGTTTGCATCCTCCAAATCCACCACACTCTCCTCCCTGAACAGGTCGCTTGGGACCTATGCATGGAGAGCAGGCGAATGTTTTCAAACAGATCGACCATGACAGGGTGAACAGGTGGTGCTGAACACGTGGCCATGTTCATCTTTCATCCATTCATCCATCAATTTTTACTGAGAAAAGACACACCTTCTGATGGTTGGGATTCACCGACTGGGCAGGTGCGGCGACCCTTCCCACACCTGGTGACGCCTCCAATGGCACAGGCTGGCAAACTTGGCAAACTGGTGGAGAGTGACCAGCCCTGGTGAAAACAGCTAACAATACCTCTACCATCCTCTACCTAATATTACGGACAGGTGCTGCGTGTTGCCCGGAAAGTTCAAATGGCGTTTGTGCATTATCCTTCAACATGCTCAAACACCTGCATAGGGCCAGTGTCTTGAGATTTCCCAAGCGACGAACCCTAAACACAAAACCCTAAAACCCTAAAACCTTAAACCCAAAACCCTGAAACCAAAACCGAGAAAACACTGCGTATATGCAGTATTTTTCTGCAATATCTCCTATCATATTCGACAACGCGACATCCTCGATGTTAATGGCTGGGCAACACGCAGCGTCTGTGGGTAATATTACCTAACCTAATAACCACTGCCCCAGAATTTATGGTGGAATGTAGCGGATAGAAGTTGGGAAAGATGGGCGGTTTCAGCAAGGTACAGTGACACCCAGCTTGCATTGCGAAAAGGCTGGATCTAGAAGTCATCTAAGATCGATTTCTAAGCAGAAAATCCCCTAAAAAATTGGGTTGACATGCACATTCCATGGTATTCTGTTCATTTGACCA